AGATGGCACAGGCTTGTGGGTTTAATATTAAAAACAATTTTATTCTTATTGGTGAACAAAATCAAAAATCTACAATGTGGTCAAGCATGCAAAAGATGTGCAACTATAACCATTATGTTAATAAGGCATGCAAGTTTAACATATATTTGTCAATTAAATAATGGAATCAATATAAGACCATGGATCGTCAGTAAAAGGTACAATTACAGGAAACATTAATAAGTTTATCACCCTATACCAGAAGTCAAAACCATGACTAAACTAGGGATGCTAGAAAGTGTGTCCATGTGAAGTGAAGACAATAAACTTTCGATGTTTACTGAACAATTAACATAAAACGATAAGGCCTGTGTAAGTACGTAATTATCAGGAGAACAATCAATATGCAGATTAATTACAAAGTAGCATTAGACATTCAACTACACAAACAGTATGCATGAGACAGTATTAAGTTTTAACTGATTACAGCAAACTGTTACATCAACAAACTTTTCTGAAAGAAGCTAATTAGTATGCTTTGAATATTTCATCAATTGAAAAAAGAACAGTACAAAATTGTATACAGATGGAAGATACTTGAAAAAACATGTACCAAATTTTGGAATTCAACACACCTACACGTCAGTGTACATGTACACATTGCACTATTTCATGCAAAAATACAAAAACCACAGCAACGATGAAATCGCTACGTAAGGCTAGTCTTGATTTACAACATATATGCAAAATTAGTTAATAGCATAACTTGTATAATACAACTAAATGCAGTACTGAACTTTATAAAATTCATCTTGACAAATACACTACAAAGATTATAGACCAGCCAAAAGTAACCCGAAACATTGTATTACTGAATATAGCTACAATGTAGCAGCCTCTAGGATGGAATGCCAGGCTTGACTCCAATGTATCAACTACAAAATATATACTATGCATATGAGCTAATTAACATATGCACATTATTTCCAAATTAACAGTAAACATTGAGCTCCAAAACCAGAAAGTATACTGTAACAACAAGTTTTCAAACCATTTGTGCAAACAGTTAAGCAAATTAGCTAATTAATATGCACAGATTTGTAAAATGTAATCACCCTGATCCACTCGATGGTTTTGGAGATATCAGTGGGACAAGATTTGACACATAAATGTACATCCATCCATCCATCCATCCAACCTTACAGGCAAACATCCGTATGACATTAGCTGTGTGCTCTGCACACAGAGCTGAAAATGCCCTGCCATGCCATATACCCACATGAAATCTTCATGGCAAATCACACCAGTTGTTAAACTCTTAGGTTTATGTTATGTATCTTCAATGGGTGACCATGTGATATTGGATTTATTAATGAATGTTGTAAGTTGAAGTGAGTGTTGAACCTTTCGCCAATCAAAGCCCATTTTTTTTCTCTGCCAGACAGAACCTTTAACTTTTGCTGACCCCTATCATGCAATACATAAAAGTATAATTTTATTTAATCTGATTAGCTGATTAGCGTTTCATTTTGCTGGAATGTTATCAATGGAGACTTTGTCCAGTAAGTGATTGTAATAAATCGACCTTTGACCCACCCACAGCTAAAATCTTAGCACAGACGGTTACATGTTGCCAACTTTAGAACACGTGATTGTAGAAATTTAATCAAATGGAAAATATTTTGTTTAATAGATTCAGTGAGTTAAAATAAGAGACATCTGCAGATATAAGGAGACCACTGCGACGACTGAATGTTAAACAGTGATAACTTTATTTTAGCTGGAATTAATTTTCACTGAAAAGACTTTTTGGATGTTTTGTATGGAATTAATTTTCACTGATTTTTGACAAGTTTAATGTAAAATAAAGGAAAAAAAGTATATTCACTGGATTTTCTTTTCACTGAATCATTCTTTCAGTGAAAATAGCGAAAATTAATTCCAAGCGAAAATAAAGTATTCTACAGTACATCATAATGTCATTTTTACTTATTCATCTGGAGATATTTACTAATGACAAAGAAAGCATAGAAATAGTGAGGATGTGAATATAAACTCATATATTGTCATAGTTAAGCAGGTGGATATCCCCTTACGACAATTAAAACTATTACTCTAACTTTTCTTATTGGCCCTGGTATGAACTATTTTATTTGAAGCTTAATTCATGGTGAATTTAAACTCTGGAATTAAACCGAAGGATGACCACACTGTCAATTGCAAATAGAGCTCAGTACCCCAGATTAACATAGGATAGGTTACCTACACCATATCAACAGGTCAGACATTCATACGATAAAATATGCAATAATAAAGGTTCAAAGATCCATGTTACAGGAGACCCCACCCATCACCATTTGAGAGATGTCGCTGATATCGGTAGTTAAATATATGAATGATTTAAAACCTATCACGGTAAGGATTTCCCAGCTCCCTCTCCCTTTTCCCCTCTTTCCGCTCTTTCCCGTAATAATGAAGAATGCATAGGGATACATGTAGGTCACATGTCTCCTACCTGATCCACCATAGACTTGTATTTACTGTAGCGGGATGATCCACCAATCCATTCCACTCCACTCAATAAAGTCACTCAACATCATTGCAATATTAGAAGTCAAAGAGATGGAGCCAAAAAAGTTAGGGGAGCTGTCTTTCTAAGTTAGTCAAGATGGAAATATTTCAAACCACAACTATATACAATACATCAACACTTAGCTAAACAGAATGGAATGCTATTTCACCACAAAAATAGTCAACATGTTATCAAATGTAAAAAAAATGTAAAACAATGACCTTGCCGTGGTTCAGGAACGTCTGGTACAACATTGCACGCAATACAATTAAATATATTACATAGTATGAAATTAACACTTTCAATACTTCTTTTAATTAAATGTTAAACTAAATTTTTGAAGACTGAAAAAGAACAAAATGAACTGCAATGATTTAAAACTATTCACAGCTGCATTTATCAGCTCCATACAACATGCATTCAAAAGTTCTTTTCTTTAAAGTCATGCCAGTCAAGTCAGACTGAAGAAACCAATGAGTATTGCTGCCAGTAGTCAATACATGTAAATACATACCAGTAGTCAAATAAGGTAGAAATAAGATGGTAAACTGTGCCAAATTTAACTCATTTTGAGGTAGTGCGACATAGTGGTCTTGTGACGAACAGCTTCTCACCTAATAACACTAATTTGTAAATTAGTTGATAATTGTGGCGTCATAAGCTGTGTTATTTCACTCCTCTTGGACTAATACTAGTCCATGATGTCACTTGTATTGTATAAGTAACCTCATATCATGCAATGACTATAATACGAGGTAGAGTGTGACGGCAATATTGGGAAGTAAATAATCCTGTGAAGTATCTATTAGTAATTAGTATGGATAAGAATTAAATTTATGTGGCTATAATGAGGTTTACATGTAGGGATACAAGTGGACTCCTTGCTGCAAGGAGTAGGTAATACACTATTACATGTACCTGAAATAAGACTCTTCAACAGCTACCCAAACATGACATGGGTATTTTTACCTTCAAACACATTGAAGCACGATCACTCAATCTGACTAAAAAAAATATGGTAACAAGCGACCAAAATCTGTGCAAACCAGAAATCAATTTGAACTGAACACCATTCAGACCTTTCTCTATGTATAGAATATACAAAAATAAAACACCTCTATATCTGAGAACCAAACAATCACACCAATCAGTTCAAGCAAAAATTGTTGCCTTAAAGCACCATTAGTCACGTCATGTGGATTTTGATATGGGTCCTATGCAACAACTCTAATACATTGTTTGTTTACACAAAATTGAAAGGTTCACTGTGCAAAGATTATGGATATGTTGCCTGAGACAAGAGCAATACTGTAAAATCATTTATTTTCACTGACATTTAATTTCAATATTTCAATATTTTGATCAACTGCACTGGGTTACAGACTTTGTAGGGAAACAATGAGTTCTATTGTCCAATTTCACATGGATTTAATTTAGTGAATATTACTTATCAACAAAAATAGCAAAATTAAAAGCCAGTGAATAATTAAGTAATTTACAGTACTTGTATAGAAGTATGATTATCAGGTTAAGGATAAACTGCAGAAAACTTCATAATCCTTCATAATCCCCACATAAATATACTACATGAGATGTGAGAGTTAGTGATTCCCAATCTTAAAATATTCACTGCTACAAAATTTAGATTTCATCTATGTGTGTCTCTCGAAAATTTAAGTGGATCACATTGGTCATTACAATAATACTTAGACATTCTGGAAATAAAGACTGGTCACAATAACAAGATGAATTGTGTTTTACACTATGCATCTAGATAGTCATTAAGAATGTGATTACATCCATTAAACCATTGTTAAACACTAATATTATGATACAATACAAAGCAGTAGGATAAATATCACTGACATGCAGTGTGTTCAGTAAATTCCATATTATTCATATCACTAAATACAGTTGCAATGTTTACATATGAAATTATCAATAATTTTGAACACTATGCCACTATGTTTTGTTCCGTGGCTGACTACAGAAGCGTGAAGAAAGGTTTTTAAACTGCCAGGCATACCTGGCATGAACCGGTGGGAAGGGCGTGAAAGGCGGAAGCTACGATCATAAAAAAAGCATCTAAGGTAATTTTCATTAGACCACGATATTTTCGTGGAGTACTAATATATGTGTTCAGTCAAACCACGCAGCAACATGAATGGGTCTGACTACATGGACTACGCAACGTAAACACGTACAACGACGAACACGCTAAATCCTCTTATCAATACGACCAGAAACTTCGCCGGGACTTCGGTGACTGCATGAATAATCTGTGCTGAAGACTACACGTGGATATTTGCACCCGTATTTCAGACAAGAAACTAAAATGTCGATGCTGTTTTACAGCCAGACAGTTCATATGACTTCTGATTGTCTATTGACCAACAGATTCGCTGATAATGTCTTATCAACAATATCAGGTAAAACGTAAAAAACTCACCTTTCGGCAGACAGAAGTAGTAGTTCGGTATCGGCGTTGTTAAACTACAACGCGTTCATACAGGGTAATCTCCGTTCCACTCGATTGTCACCACCTCTCACGATTCTATAACTTTTCTCTGCCAATTTCTTGGCAAAATAAGAAGAAACTTACTCCTTTTTTGGAATCTCTCCTCCCAACCGTTGATCACAGAGCAGCCATTTTTCACGGTAATGGACGGCGCATGCGTAGATACTCTGATCAAAGGTCATTCTGTCCCCGTGGCACGTGGGTCACCGTTATTTGCCAGTTTTTTATATCGTTGCCCAGGTCAGAATAGTATGAACGATAAGGACATGGTTCATCGTTTTGACTTTATTCACAGTGCCCTGAATCTGATTATGATCTGCTGTGGAAATGAAACGTTGAACAAACGACGGGCGAAGAACATTCGAAGTTGGAAACAACTTTGTTACTATTAGTATTATCACAGTCGTTATTAAACTGGCAAACAAAATATTGTACTCACTGGGCTGTGTGAAATGAAAATACTGTGTCACCGACACACACTACGTGAATCCACGGTTACTAACCGTGATATGATGGAGTATCAAGCTAATGACTAGTCTAAGACATGGAAGGTAGTAGTGGGTAGTAGTCCTACTACTCCCTATGCCTATAGGTAAGAGAATGGTGAACGTCCCTTGGTATTCAACAAATGCCACATTGAGTCATATGATCTGTATTGTATACTACGATAACAGTATAGGATACAGGCGCGACATTGCCATTCAACTAATTGCCGGATAATAGATTACCTAAAATTGGAATTTGATGGTTCACTTAAATCTATTAGATCTATTTACATTTATTTATTAACACACAACATCCCCGGGAGGGGATGAAAGGGGTTACAAATCAGATATTAGTAAAAGAAAAATAACTACATAAAAAGTAAAGAAACAAAAAGCATAAAAAATAATGACAAAAATTTGTATACAAAGAATGTGTTACTGGCTTAGTTTATGTAGGTGCTGCTGTCTCATATAAAAACAGTTAGCAGATTTACTGTCGAATATTAGATCTAATAGGAAATATTATTAGAGCCATCTTTCAAGTTTCAATGCGGTTAGAGTATGGCATCTATGGTCACGATAATGTGGAAAATTTCTCCAAATGCAAGGTCCTGGTCGCTCAACTTTTCAATTTGTAAGCAAGATTTAAAAATGAACGCTGTTTTTCTTATAAAAATAGTGGTGTTCATGTTGAAAATATATATACAAATAAGCGTAATGGAAATTCGTGACCTATCGCGAATATCGTATAATGATCGAGAATAGTCGATAGTACATGACATACCACAACCTTTACCCTATAGATCCTTCTGAGGGTTATCAATGTAAACGCAAATACCTCCCATCAGTTTGTAACGAATAATGTTAAAAATCATTTCGTTGCATGGATACATTTAGGCCAAGCAGTAGAATGCCGCCAAATGTGAACCATTTGACGAATATTCGATATTACATATTGTGCGACACCATTTATCTCATTGATACGCGCGGTGATATTTATTCTATATCAGGGATTGACCATTAAACCTCGGTGGGTAGATTTTTGCCAAAAAAAATAGTGCACGGAAAGCAATGTCACCCTGAAAAGAAATCCAGCTCAAAACTGAAGAAAACAGAAATATTTGATGGACAAATAAAGAAAATTGTCTGAAAGCTATAATAATTTGCGTAGTTTTCCCACCATCTTGATCACTTCCCGGAATTCATAATGACCCACGGTTATTAGTAACCGTGAACGGCCAACCCCTAACAGAATTGTACTGTCTTAGCATGTTTCGCTCAATTTTGTACAATCAAAGTGGCGCGTTCCAGTGGCCTCCCAGGGCGGTTTCTATTCAAACCCGAGGAAACACGTGTATGTATACCATGTCATAAAAGCCATTTATTTGCAGTGTCTGATAATTTATGATATCATATTTTTTCTGTGGCTGCTTCTCCTATTTTTTGCTGTAAACATTGTCTCGCTAAGATCCAGCACTCGGGTTAACAGTACCGGGTACAATAGTACATACATGTAATTCTTTCAGACTTTTGCTCCTCACCAAAGTACGATATTAATACGCCGTGTGTAAGTGGAAGGAAACTTTATCCTTTTATGTACCCAAAATTAATACCCGCAATAAATTGGTTGAACTTCACGCGTGTTGCGAAAAAGTTACAGAGCGCGCGACACAACGAATAACATTCAGCAGGTTTATAACACAGAGAAAACGCGCTGGAGTAGCTCTGTTTCTGCTATTGGGAATCTACACAAGTCAGTGGTGTGTTTTTTTAAATCTTTTTCCAGGGTAGTTAATTTATTAACACGTTTTTAAAACAAGTTTGTGTACGTCACTTCCATCCGGGTTGCCCCTACTGGCAATTTTGAAGTCAACTCTACCTGACAAGTAGCAGTTCAGTATGATCTTTTAATTTATTTACGTGTTGTTTTCTTCTAAACATGTACTATAATTTAAACTGCACCTCATTTTGTTGTTTCAAAATTGACCACCCGGGCGAAATTAATTGATTTTCCTATCACAAGTTATTCTTACTGTTCAATTTCACAATGATGAAGACTCTGCAGTGTGCTTTGTTAAAACGCGAAATAGAAAGATTCCATTCAGATGAACTAAACAATTACATAAAAACATATGTGTATACTTAGTATGTAAGAGTTCGGAGTTCGTCGGGGAGGGCGCTGCAAGAACAACCAATCTGACATGACATAGCCATGCGTGATTCAGGGTCACCCAGAGGTTTCCCATTTGTGTACACAATTTAAGCGACGACTTACTCCAGTATGTTTAACAGACAAAAAGTGCCTATTTGCCTATTCGTGACGTGTATTCATATTTGTAGTTCAACACTCTCAAAGGGGAATACTAGTATAGTGTGGTATGCTGTACTTAGTGTAGATTATACACAATTCATTGATATGTATACGGTATTATTATGATACGGTATGCAGCGTCACCTGATTTGAAGTTACAAGCATTGGGAGTAAGAAACTCAATGATGTAGGTTCAGATAAGCCAGCGTGGATATATACGATTATTTATTATCTGTGTTTTATAGTCGCTTAGCTCATAGCTAAATTCGATTAATTTAAACCGAGTGAATATGCATATTGTAATTGAACACAATTAATATTTTATTCTCTACAGTATTATGCATAGTACTCTGAGAGTAGACTTGCTTGCAGTCTGTTGCGATTCCGATAGAAAATTCTTGAAAAATAAATATAAATTGCGTCAACGAGGGGGTGAACGCGAAAGTCATGTGACCGCGAAATCCCAGCAGACTTGCCATCAGTGTAAGCGCCCTCACATTACCGGCCAGAATCGGGCTTGTAAATTTACATATACGTCATACGGTGGGTGGAGCAGCCGAGCCACGGATCATAACAATAAATCGGTTTCCGGGGTCTCAGTTGATATGTTAATTAGCCTGACTTCTGATTGGTTGAAACATATTAGACATGTCAATCATTACAAGCGTCATTACAAGTGTCATCTTCGGAAACAATAGGTTTAGTAGAAAGATTATTTTGACTTGGTCGAAGCTCAGACTAGTAATACTATCTGAGGTCGAAGGTATATTTTTTTACTTTGCTGGCCTATGTTGGCTTTTAATTCTGCAACACATCACGGACAATCGATTACCTGCGAAGGGTGGATACCGCCCAGAACAATGCAGCGTTTCAAACGCAAATGGAGGAATCATAGTACACATTCATCAACAAAATAGTCGTCAGAGGTCAACTTCTCCACCATCTCTTGGACACTGCTGTCCACCACGGTTACTAAAAAAGATTTGTTAGTAACCGTGTGTCCACATTACATAGATTTGTTTTAAATCCCAATCCAGTCTTGTGGAGAATATCTTTTTCTGTTGCGTTGGGTATTTTTTGATGCATTGCGATCCGACAGACACACAAAGTGTCCAGTCCTAGTATGAAGGAACAGTCATGAAAGTAATGTTTTAGTTTTTGACGTTTCCTGGGTCATCCGCTTTTCGCTTTTGTCTCATTTCTTACACCACGTGCAAAACATTCTGTTTCACCACATAATAGAGGCATACTATTATTTGCTTGTGACTGTTAATTCTTTACAACGTTTCTACACAGGTCGTGGATACGAATGCGATCCCCGATCCTAGTTACTCCAAAGCTGTTTAAATCACCGTCTGTCACGCACAGCACAGTGTCGGCCTCAACTTTTCTCGAGAATGAAAAGGAAAGTTCGTTCTCTAGGAAAACGACTCGTTTTCCACGATAAACTATCGTTTGTCCATAACATGTGTGAGATATAGCACGATTACCGAGGCGATAGCCATAATATCGACCGAGACCGAAGGGGGAGGTCGATATTACTAATTTAGTGACTCGAATTTTAATTATCATTTTAACGAACTTCGAATTACGGGAAATATACCACGTTAAACAAAACAACAATTCTATGTTGCCCATAACTCGAAGTTCGGTTAACTGATATATGCGGTTAATAGAGATACTAATGTAGACGTTTAACGAAAATGCAATTCTAAGTTGCCCGTAACTCGAAGTTCTGTTAATTGTTTATTGGACATCGAATGACAATTTGGGCGTGGTTTTATAAAAGTGGGCGTGGTTTCTTTTATATTTAACAACAATTTAGCATCTCACATAATAGTTGCAAGTGAAATTTATCTCAGATTGTTCGATGGTTTTAGAGTCACAATAAGTTATGTAATTGGAATTTGAGCGCTATGTCATATAAGCCTCAATTGAATAAATAATTTTGAAATTATCTAATAGTCGGTATAGGAGTTATGTTACTGAAACAAGTGTGTGGGGTTCACATGGTTCTTTAGATTTGTCACACTGAATGTAGACTAAAGTTTTCAATACAAAAAGACTCATGGAATGGAAAAGCTTGGCAACTATTGCTGATGAAGTCATTGAAAATGTAAAAGAATTTCAGAACGTAGACCATATGCAACTACAACAAATTTACTAAAAAAGTTGATGGGCAATGATATATTTTATTTTTGAAGAAAATTGTTAAAATACGGGTTAAAAAGGCATGCATACAATTTCAAAAGAAAATTCTCAGTAATTCTAGTGATCTTTGAAAACAAACGACCACCATTGATTTTAAATCAATACGAAGCCACTTATG